TTCTCTAGCAGTATTACCAACATTTCCACTGCTTACTGATCTCTTAGAAGACATTTAGGGGTAAATTAGAGTAAAATAACAGCACAGAACACTGAGAGCCAGGCCTGGTGGCTATAACTAAACTTTATGGGACTCTGGGAAACTTGGCCACAACCAATGTTTAGTGGACATCAGGCTAACTAAAATCATACCGAACCACGAATGTTACCAGACCAGAGTGTGCCAGATTAGAGAGATTCTACCTGTAATGCTATTTTCAAGTCAGAGCTATTATTAACCATTTTATTATTTAAATATTTGAGATGTTTCTTATCTAGAGATCCTTCTCTTCATTTATTTTAATGACAATATTTTTCAATATTTCAGAAGAGCCACCATCCTCATTTTCACTTAATCCAAAATCTGTTTTAAAGGAGACCCTACCCACAGCCAGCCGTATCTGTTACCTTAAAAGAGAATCTTTATTAAATGATAGTTTAAATGAACCATACATTTTATTTAAGAACAGATAATTTATTTCATTTTCCCGCATCCCTGATGCCTGTCACATCATCATAAATTTACAAATTTGTCCAGTTTTTGCAGAGGGTCAGAAATGAACATGAGTATTACAGAGCTCTTAAATTGAATTTTTTGTTTGGTTTCAGAAACTTCAATAGAACCCTATAATGCTCTGTAGAGATAAATAAGAAATGAGTCTTTGCTTGGGCAAACTTTTCCCAGAATCAGATCTGGACTTTTAGGTTTGCTCTTTCAGATGATTTTTAATCCCACATTCTTGTTTATACTTGCAGTTTTACAGATGGCATCAGTGTGAGCAGACATGAAGACATACTTGGGAACACAGATGGACTGTGTCTACATTAGTAAGATTTTGCACAAAAGTGGATGCTTTTGTGCAAAAACTTTCCACCTGTCTACGCTGGTGGGGAGTTCTTGTGCAAGAACACTGACATGCTAATGTAAGGAATCAGTGCTTCTTGCGCAAGAACTATGATGCTCCCGCTCAGGAAAAAGCCGTCTTGAGCAAGTAAGACATAAGCATGTTGTAGACAGGCAACATGAATTTCTTGCACAAGAAAGCCTGATGGCTAAAATGGCCATCGAAGCTTTCTCGTGCAAGAGAGCATCTACACTGGCACGGATGCTTTTATGCAAAAGCACATCTCTTGCACAAAAGCACATGCCAGTGTAGACGCTCTCTTGCTCAAATACTTTTAACGCAAAAACTCTTGCGTTAAAAGTATTTGCGTAAAATCATGCCAGTGTAGACGGAGGTTTATTAAAATCTCGCGCTGCTACTTCCATTGACTTTAATGGGGGTACTCCTATTAGTGAGCAGTGTAATACCTAGAATATTTCTTTCATGCAGGAACAGATTTTTTTAGATGGTTTCCACTTCAGCTCTTGCATATGGTGGTTTTTGAGCAGTTCTGTGTCTGCAGGTTTCCACAACATAGTTTTATGATAGATTTTTTTTTTTTATTAAACTGGCATTT